TTCATTCCATTCCATTATCCATTCCCATTCCCTCCATCCATTCCATTCCCTTCATTCATTCCATTCCACTGGCTCCAACTCCATTCCTCCCTGTCCATTCCATTTCCTCCATTCCGTCCCTTTGTCCATCCACCATCCATTGTCCCTCCATTCCATTCCATCCATTTCCATCCTGTCCATTCCTTTCTGTCCATCCATTTCCTTCCTATCCCATTCCCTCCATTCCATTTTTCCCTTCCATTCCACTGTCATTTCCTTTCATCCATTCCACTCCATCCACTGTCCATTCCTCCATCCACCTCTGTCCATTCCACTCCTCCATGTCCACCCTTCCACTTGTCCATCCATTTCCTCCATTCCCTTCCATGTCCATTTCCTTTCCATTCATCCATTCCATTTCCATTGTCCATCCATTCCACTGTCCATTCCCTTTCTTTCCTCCATTCCTGTCCATGTCCCTGGGGCTTTCCTTCCTCCATTCCATTTCCATTCCACCTCCGTTCCCTCCATGTCCATCCACCTCCATTCCATCCTGTGTCCTCCATTTCCTTTGTCCATTTGTCCTGTTCCTTCCATTTGTCTCCATTTTCCTTTCCGTCCATTCCTTCCTTTCCACTCCATTCCACCTCCATTCCGTCTTTCCTTGTCCATTCCTGTCTTTTCGTCTCCATTCTTCTTTGTCCAGTGTCCTCCACCTCCATCCAGTTCCTGTGTTCGTTCCATTCCTTTTCCTGTCTTCCTGTGCTCCGTTCATTCGGTCGTCCTGGGGTCCGTTCCACTGTGGTCCACCTCGTGTCCTGGCCTGTCGTCGTTTCTGGTCTTCCGTCCGTTCCTGGGGTCGTCTGTCGTTCCGGTCTTCCTTCCGTCGTCGTTGTCTTCCTCGTTATTCCTGGGTCTTCCGTTTTCCGCGTTCCTGGGGTCTTCGGTCTTCCTCCGTCCGTTCCGTGTTCGTTCCACCTCGTTCGGTGTCGTCCGTTCCACGTTCGTTCCTGTCGTTCCGTTCCGGCCACTGTCGGTCTTCCGTTCCACCTCTGGATTCCTGGTCCGTTCCTTGTGTCGTTTTTCCTGATCCGTTATTCCGCCGTCCGTTTTGTGTCGTCGTTCCTGTCTTCCGGCTGGTCGTGTCCGGTTCGTCGTTCCTGGGGACTGTCGGTCGTGTCGTTTCGCTGGGTCTTCCTCCGTCCGTGTTGGGACGTTGGGGATCCACCTCACCATCCGCTTTCCACTACCACTCCACCATCCATTTCCACTATCCCTCCACCATCCATTCCACATCCTTCCTCCACCATCCATTCCATTCCCTTCCATCCTTCCCCCTGTCTTTCCTCCACTTCACCATCCTTTCCTTCACTATCGACCATCCATTCCATCTTCTTTCCTCCACCATCCGTTTCCATTCCTCCACATTTCCTCACCATCCGACACCACACTGCTGACCACCATTCCATCTTCCTCCACACTACACCTCCGTCCACATCCTGATAACCACTGTGGACTGCACCACACCACATCACCATCCGACACCTCACTGCCAGCGACACACAGAACATCACAATAACCACTCCACACCTCACCATCCGACACCACACTGCCGACCACAGCACATCACAATAACTACTCCACACCTCACCATCCGACACCACACTGCCGACCACCACAGCACATCACAATAACCACTCCACACCTCACCATCCGACACCACACTGCCGACCACAGCACATCACACAACTAATTAATTGTGGCTCACCATCCGACACCACACTGCCGGACACACCACATCACAATAACCACTCCACACCTCACCATCCGACACCCACACTGCCGACCACACACATCACATCACAATAACCACTCCACCTCACCATCCGACACCACACTGCCGACCACACCACATCACAATAACCACTCCACACCTCACCATCCGACACCACACTGCCGACCACACCACACAGCACATCCACTCCACAATCAATCCGACTCCACACCTCACCATCCGACACCACACTGCCCTCACCACACCACACACTGCCGATCACACCACACAATAACCACTCCACACCTCACCATCCGACACCACACCACCGACCACACACACAGCACATCACAATAACCACTCCACACCTCACCATCCGACACCACACTGCCGACCACACCACAGCACATCACAATAACCACTCCACACCTCACCATCCGACACCACACTGCCGACCACACCACATCACAATAACCACTCCACACCTCACCATCCGACACCACACTGCCGACCACACCACATCACAATAACCACTCCACACCTCACCATCCGACACCACACTGCCGACCACACCACATCACAATAACCACTCCACACCTCACCATCCGACACCACACTACCGACCACACCACACCACAATAACCACTCCACACCTCACCATGCCACACCACACTGCCGACAATAAGCATGCCACACCAGACCGCATAAAACATCAAACGCACATCAGCCACGCCACATAAAACAGGAAACACACATCACACACCGCGCCACACCGCACCGCAAATAAGGCCACAGACCGCACCAGACAAAACAGCAAACACACACCTTACCACACACACACGAGTGTGTAATTGTCCCCATAATGCCATAAACATTGTTTTTCATTACGTTGCACTCCTGATAAAAAACTTTCATGTTTCAGGGCCGACCGACAATACTACCGGTGTAAAGGACGGACAGGCCGGGACAGCGATAACATTTGGCAGTGCTAAAATTGAAAACCTTTCAAGTATTGATGCTATTGCTTTCATATGTTAAATCAACCTTCAGTATTAATTAAATGACTAATTATATTCACATTACTTTGAGATAGGATCAGAGAATATTATGGTTGTGTAGGGTGAGTGAGTGAATATGATTTTACGCCGCTATTAGCAATATATTCCAGCAATATCGCGGTGAGGGACACTAGAAATGTGGAATCAAACATTGTACCCATGTGAGGAATCGAACCCGGGTCTTCGGCGTGACGAGGGAACTTTAACCACTTAGGCTACACCAGCGTGCCTATGTGGCTACACCAGCGTCCCGATGTATGTGTAGATGTAAAATTGCAATATTCCATTCTCAAGATGTACGTATGACAACAATGTGTAGCACTGTCAGCCTGAAGATTTAGTGAATGAGCGAGTTGCGTTCACCTTTGAACATTATTACATGCTATTTCAGACATGTCAACAGAACATATACTCATGCCAATAATGGTTGTCACCCCTCCCACCCCACCCCAACCCCACCCCCCCCCACCCCCAACCCCTCTCAATTAAAAACATTGAAGGGGTGACAACCATTATTGGCATGAGTATATGAGTTGAGATCAATTTAGTGTGTTGGTTTGATTGCTTGTTCAACGCCGCACACTGCAGTATTCAGGCTATACGACAGTGGTCTGCAAATAATCGAATCTTAAACAGACAAGCCTGTGATTGCTAACATGAGCACTGATCTACTATAAGGGATATGATGTCATGTATCAATCTGCTCAGCGAGTCTGACACCCGGTACAGTTACTCGCCTCCTGCGAGAAGCCGATCTTCATGGGTTTGTAACTTGTAGTGATACAAGTATAGTGTGTCTACCTTCTTGGTTATATCCAAAAGCACAGTGATGATGACATGCTATGAAACATACTCACGGCAGGTGTCTATTTGGGCCCTACTGTCACAGCTTCCTGACATGCCTAAGGGGCGCAACTCTGTATAGTGAAACGTGCAACCTTAAACCACAGGGCAATCCGTGCCACAAACAGTAACAGTTATTTATTAACGGAATAATGTAGCAACCAAACCCTTCCACTTGAATCAGATATTTCTCTTAAAAGCAGAGTCTTTGCAGGAAGTACCCTTCATATGGTTCTCTTATATTAGTTACAAATAGTTATCTGGAAATAGGTGCTCTTGAAAAGGTGAGCGTATCCTGTCTCACCGGTGGCACCTGTCATAAACGCATGTAAAAGCAAGCCTGAAATGTGCAAGGGAAGATAGAGCCAATGTCGGGAATCGTATCAGACGTGGACCTGATGCGTCAAAGTAGACGTTCTTTTGCCCGTTCTGAAAGCTTGACGTACTCATACCTTCAAGCAAATCATATTAGAGTGAATTTAGTTTTACGCCGCTTTAAGCAATATTCCAGCAAAATCACGGTGGGGGACACCAGAAATGGGCTTCACACATTGTGTGTAACGAGCGAATGCTTTAACTTCGGCGTAACTAGCGAACTAACCACTAGACTACCCCACCGCCCACAAATCATATTAGAAGCAATAATAGAAGTGAAGACTTCATATGTTATATCAGTGTTACCATGGAATGCAAATTGAAATAGTTGCATCTTGTTTTTAGTTCACACTGCTCATCAAGGATCAGTAGGATCTGGACAATCCAGTCAAGTGCCAGAGAATCCAGAAAGAGGTAAATCTTATACCGCATCACCACTATCTACGCCATATCACAACTCACCACATCTCTCTCCACACCACAGCACAGCACCCCTCACCATAACACACATCTCTGCTCTCTATTAGATCAGATCAGAGTTTTACAAATATGGATAACACACATCTCTGCTCTCTATTAGATCGGTTCAGAGTCTTACAAATATGGATAACACACATCTCTGCTCTCTATTAGATCAGATCAGAGTCTTACAAATATGGATAACACACATCTCTGCTCTCTATTAGATCAGATCAGAGTTTTACAAATATGGATAACACACATCCCTGCTCTCTATTACATCAGATCAGAGTCTTACAAATATGGGCAGGACATGCAGTCCAAGTCACTTTAAGAGGGGACACCCTGAGCACAATCACAATTCCGGAGACGATCCCAGGTAAATACAACTGACAAAATCCTTTTCTAAAATTTCTTCTAAGAACAGAGTCCATTGTTCAATTTCGAAACTATCATGTGCCTACTTCAATGAAACCCATGTATGTAAGGGGTGAATTAAACTCATTTAGCAAAAGCTATACATGGCGACAACCCAGGTCGTGGAAACATGCCCGTCGGGACTACTTTTAATTTCCGATAATAGGTTGCCCACTATTATGAAAACGGAAATAGATGAAACAAAACAGCAGTATGAAAATGAAGATAACAATCAACGTTTTGGGAAATAAGATAAATCTCCAGAGCATTCAAGGACTAAAGGGATCTTAACGGAGATACAAATAGTCACTTAAGAAATAGAAGAAGAAAACAATCTAAAATACAAACGTAAATTGTACACGAAAAGCACAATGGATAGTGTAAAGGGTAACGCAAAAGTCTGGAATCAAGAAACCGTAAACCCATGAACAGGTAGATGGCAGAACAATTGAATAACACGATGATATACTAAAAGACCTGTGCCATCTACTAGAAATGTTATTTCAGTGCTGAGTTCGAAGAAATGATTGGCTTGAATTATAAGAGTGCATTTGCACATTGTGAAACACTTACATATTTGGAGTCGTGAAGAAACGGAACCCCGATGGGACAATACAACCATATATTCCCATTCTACCACATCCATCAGATAGTATGCTAAACCTTAAAAAAGGGGTCGAGGTAAAGCCCAAAATGTGAAGAGAGGTCAAAATATATTTGATACGTCAACTGGATGTATAAATGTCCCGTTATAATAAAAACCTGCACAAAACACATTGATGATACACAAAACTTCAAAATACAATGTCAGAGTGTGGTACATGATTTTGAGAAATACCAACTCGGTACAAGTGATTACGGGAACTATGCCCTCGTTGAAATAATGTTCACAGTGCCGAACCTTGGCGAGGCACTGAACATCATTTTAACGAGGGCATATTCCCCGTAATCACTCGTACCGAGTTGGTTGTTCTATTTATTACCCATGACGTAATTTAAAAAGAAGAACCACTAAATAAAAACCACTAGGACTTGTGACCTCAAACAGCTGATTCGTATTCATGCGCGTATTAAACCTAACTTCTCGAGTGGTAATAACATAACTACGCTGTAGAAAATAGTACCTCGTACAATCGCTTTAAATACAACAAATATGTTTTTATGGAAAAGTTATTCACATATGTTAATATGATAAGAATGATCTTTTAATTGCAATATTATTTAACTTAATAACAGCTAAAATGTTAATTGATCAAGTTAGTACGCCGGAACATCCTTCATTCACGACTGGCGTGTGTCTAGTGACGGGTGACGGTGTAGCGTTGAAACACACTTTGGCAAAAACCTGTCAAATTTTGGGAAAGTCAACGGTTAAAAGTTGGGAAATCTAAAAGACAACCATCCCACGAATACATCTAGAAAACGTTTTCTGTCAAGAAACTCAACAAGTTTGAAGATTAAACAACATTTTGTTATGTGGAAGGCGTGTTACAGTCACGTCACTGGTCACAGTAGAGTACAGCAGTTCCAAGAAGGATAACTCTAGTAGGAATCCGAGTAAATGGGAAGAATAAGCCTCTTTGGAGCAGATTAAGATTTCGGGTTGATTAGGAATGTATAGATCAAACAGGTAATCTTGAAGATCATTTAGCACTGGTTCCGGTAAGAAAGCTGTTTTCTGGTTCGATGGCATTAGACGCCGTAGCAGACTCACTTGACACACTCTCAGGAACCCCCCTTAGTCGGTATCTTGCTGCTTCTATTTCCCCAAAATCAGTTTTAACAACAAACAGGTTGAAGGATCACCGTCAGCTTAAACTAGGTCATTGACCTTGATCGGGGTTAGCCTAATGGCGGCCATGTTTGTTTACAAACAATGCAAACGATAGTTTTTGTTGTTTCATAATAGTTATATATTTTAAATATACTATTATTTATAACGCAATGTTATTGCAAAAGAAATATGTCTAAAACAAGTGTTCATATTCTTTAACCTTTATGTTTTCTTGTTTAAATCTCGGAATGTGTGAGTACAGCACGTTCTAATTATCATAAAAACGGTAAAAGTTATCAAGAAAAATAGTTCCGTCAACCAATCATAATTCGTCTCTGCGTAGCTGACCAATGAACGTTGAGAATCACTGAAAAGCACATGTGCGATTATCACAAAAATAATCACCTGTGTATCCTAGCCTGTATGGGTAATAATCTCTTTTTAACGCTTCAATTTCTGGACCCTATAATGCTTTCAAAATTATTTGCAAGATGTTAAGATTAAAAATGATTACCGAGAAGAGTTTTGTCCACTATAAGGATTTACAAAGGGGCGGTGGAAATTCACACATAAAAATCCATCTGGAATATATAAATAAAAAGGGCATCCTTGTACAAAATATATGGTAGTCTAGTTTCTGGTAGTACATGTTTTATGACTCATAAAACTATTTTGCACACATAACCATTCCTGTCAACCATTCCTGGTCATTCGAAATTTTCAAAACCGTTAAACACCATCTTTTTAACCTTCACAGGTGTTCTTTCACGCAATTATACAGCAGTTAATAATAAATGTTTGAGCATTCATTCAGTCAAGTTAAAACTGTTAGTCAACAGTCATGAAAATTTGACTTATCCTTCAGCCTCAGTTTTGGCTTACCATTTCATGCATATCATGTAAATAAATATAATAAATTAATAATAAATATTTGAAACGTGGCAAGGTAATTAATGATGGATCTTGTGGAAGATCAGGCCTACACCCATCAATGCAAGTTCGGAATGCAGAATGCCAAAATTCTGAAAAAAAAATCAGTCACGAAAATTTGACATCCTTTTTTTAGCCTCAGTTTTATCATGTTAACAAATATAATAAGTTAATAATAAATATTTGAAACATGGCAAGGTAATTAATGATGGAAGTCTTGTTTCGAAGATCTCGTATATGCCCAAGATAGTCGTGCATGCATACATTAACATTACCTTACGACTATCTTAGTGCTAAGAGAGCTTTGAAAATCTAGGCCAAGATCCAGAATGCTCAAACTCTCAGGCCGAGTATAAATGATGCTCAAATATGCCTGGAGCTCAGAGCTAAATGCTCGAAACAAGAGCATCAATACTTTTGCTGTGCCAGTCCTTTCCTATTCCTTTGGAGTAGTTGATTGGACTTAACAAGATATCCAAAGTCTTGACCACCTGACCAGAAGGATAATGTCTGATAACAGAGCCCACCACCCTCGGTCCTCTCTTAATTAATCGTTATATGCCAACCAATTCTGGAGATCGGGGTTTGAATCACGTGGAGCCTCTTCGTGGGAGAATTTTATTGTGCATTCACAGATGTATTTATCGGATGGTTACTCTGGTGATGCATGTCAAGACTCATGATGAAAGCAAGGAATTCCACAACTATTTTAAGCATGTCATGGTTGTTGGATAGAATCTGAAGTTTGAAGTTGATTTTATTGATGGCGATGTCTCCAATCACTAGACGGTACAGTGATGGGCGCCAGTCATTTGTGGAGAAGATTTCTGAGGAATCACTGCATTGTGTGTACATGCAGTGTGCGGAACAGAACAGAACTGTTTCATCTGGAAGAAGTCGGGTGGTCTAAGCGTGAAACTGAGGGCTTTCCTTTTGGTGCTCAAGACCAGTCACTTCCTACTCGCAATTGCCAAAATGTTCTGCTTCTACCACGGTCTTCGCCATTCCTGTGGCTTTGACCCGGAGGTCCATCCATGGTACGACCCTGAACATGTCCAGGGTGTCATGGAAAATGATGCTTTCAAACTTCTTTGGAATAGGCCCATAAACAGACGAAGAAAAAAATCAGCCAATATACCTGATCTTGTTCTTTTTGAACAGCCCATCTGAAACTGAAGGCTGCAGTTTTGGGGAGCCAACATATTCTCCGGAAAGTTCTTGGTGGGTTCGACTAGGCAGCGCTTTCTAGGAGAAGTCCCATTCGCTGTCTGGGTAGCTGTAGGGGTTCAAGTATGAGATGTTACATCTGTTGTTGGCCGCAAACTTGTCAATAAATGGGAGTTGTAGACAATTCAAATTTAATTCTAGCACGACCATGTGTGGTACTTGATTCTGATTGGCTGAGAGCTCATCAAAACCGTACTTAAATGACAGTTTATGAACCGCTACTTAAAGTGACCGATTCACCCCGTATGAATACAACGAACTCGTTGACCCTATTGTTTGTAAATAAACATGTCGGACATCGGTAAGATCTATCTCGGCAGCATCTTTGGTGTTTTCGAAGTAAAAAGCGAATGGTTTGAAGAAGAATTTCTTGACCTTAATCCCAGTGAAGATACTACGAAGCTGGTAAAATCCGTCAACAGCGCAAAAGCGGCAGTATATTCAAAGCGGGTCCAACAACACACGCCGGCCCACACGTCCTAAACTGACCGCTTCCGTTCCGGCCGTAATGCTCAGTCCTTCCACTTCCACTGTCCATGTATCCCACATAAAACGTGGCATGTCAGGTCTTTCCCCAATTGGGAATAGTAGGGTGCTTATCAACAATTATTTCCGTGAATAAAGTTAGCGGCGGCTAAAGTTAGCAAATTCACGGCTTGCATTTGGGCGAGTCGACTGTCATACAGTAGGGCAGATCAATAATTCGCTTGAGAAAAATCAAATAATTGTACTTGCTCACAGTATAAACTGTATTTTTTTATTTATGTATGGTACTTGTTACAAATACCAATCATACTTGTTCCTGAAATAAAGCATTTATGTTGTTGAAAATGTCTTATTTTGTCCCTGTCCCTCAACGGGACGATTCCAAGCGATAGCCAGGATAAAGGCCCCTTCACGCCTTGTGTTCTTGGGCGCCAAACAGTTCGGTTTTAAAACGCTTTCCAGTCGTGCTACAATGAAGATAAGCTACTCGTCAATAAACGATAAAGGACCGCAAAATTGAAAACAGAGTAGCTTTATCTTCTAATTAAACTAAACATGTTGTGTATTTTATCAGGGAATGCAACAAACTCATCTACATATGGCGACATACGGACTCTTGGACATTGCATAATCTCCCTTAAACCTTATCATTATTATCCAACAAATAAGTTTCGCCAATGTCATAATAATAACAACAGTTCTCCAACACTCCAATTTGTACAGAAGGAACTAACTGATTTATGTAAGCATACTTCCACCTATAATCATAACAGAGATTCTTGGTCATGGGTATTGTGTAATGTATTGTATCATATTCGTCTTAAACATTCCAGATGTCAAGAGTCGACAGAGCAGATATATGGTCTTGTATGTCTGTAAACCCAAGGGTCTTATCAAGTCATGGTTACAGTGGTTATGATATATGATACTGACTTATAATGTTACTGATGTGTGTGTAGTAACTATGACAAATGTCTTTATATATCAGTACACAATGGCAAGGTGTCGATACGTGGAAACTACGATCACCAGAATGTCAAGACGAAAGGTAAATTGTTTAATATCATTTTCATTATCATCTGCAATGTTTTTAATATTGAATGTGAAGATTTATATTTCGTTCTTTTTGTGTATAGGACTCGCCAAAGTTAATCATATGTTTCTACATTTGTTTTTCATAAAAAGTCACATGCGAACATGGAAAGATTGTGCGTCTTAAAGCGATCTGTGGGAAACAAAAAACTAAATATGCCGCCTGTCGATCAAAGTGGACGTTCTCTGACATTGAGATAGGTGCTTTGCCTAAGTTGATGGCATCTTGTTCTAAAGGACTGAGAGACATAACGCGCGCCCTCAAAAACAAATTCCGCGTGCTTTGGATGCGTGCAGAAGAAGGAAGCTTAGTTTTGGAGTTCGGACATGATACCAAACAAGATGCTCAGGAAATGGTCTCCAATAGGGTTGAAGTGATCCATCTGCTTAAGAAGCTGCTTGGAAATTACAATATTCATGATGCATTCATTGTGGATAATGTTGAGGTCATGGACGAATGTGATGATGTCACTGAATTGCCAAGTACTTCCACAGACCAAGGATGGAAAAGGCAAGGTCTTAGTTTTGTCTGTTTGTTTATCTGTTTTCCACCACATTATTCCGGCATTTGGCAACCGTCTGGAACTGAGGAAGTGTGGCAAACCAATGACTGAAAGCATGAACATTGTACAAAGCCCTCATGACAAGATGACACACACATAAGGCAGTGAGACTGAGTAACCCGATCCAATGTTGCGTCCTCTTACCAAAAGCAATAAAGTACCGTGGACATATTCTAATGCAAATCTCCACCGTTCATTGATATTGATACAGATCACAGTCTCTAGAGTAATAATGATAAAAGGCAATACTATGTGATGTAGAAGAATATGATTTATAGGAACCTTCGGCTTTTCTTTGTTGTCTGGATGTTTTAGGGTTTTGTCTTACAGGCACACGGGACATCATCATGCCACTTCACAAAGTGACTCGGGGACTTACTCAGTGTCATCTGGAGGAGCACATGCTCAAGCAGATCATCAAGTGGATCCTGATCCAGTGTTGGGGGAACTGTAAGTATATAAGCATTAACTATGAATTAGGGTTTGAAGCGTCAACCTTATCAGAAAGTCTTTGTACTAAAAAGCTTCTAGTGAAGTACAAAGGGCATATTGAGTAAAGTAATAACTTGTGTAAGATTGTAAGGGGACCCAACAACAGTTACTAATGTGTATTGCGGCTCAATGTTGTCATTGCCAATGTATCCAATTACACAATATTCGCCTAAGGGCCGTTAATCCCAAGACTGTTGAGTGGGACGACCCTGCCCATTCCTCCAACAATTAACGCAACAACAGGTTTTGTACTAACATACGTTTACTTACATCACTCGATGTCTACTACACAAGACAGAACAGGCATGTCACAGAGTGGGAACACGGTGTGAGGACGATTTGCCCTCACCACTCTGCTAGTATTAAAAGCTTCGTTTTAAATTGTCGGATACTGATTGCTCAGTATCACATGCCTTTATATATCAATATGATTCCTTCACAATTCAATCAGATTCAGAACACATGTTTGTCATGATTGAAAACGGCAACCCACGTGACCATGTCAGCATCTCGTTATTGATTTCCTGTCATCCCTCTATACGTCTCGTTAGTCTCGCGAGGCGCTACTTCCGTTACTAAATTTCCGGTGACAAACGAATATTCAAGAACCAGTTCTGGTGCCAAATTGCACGACCGCCAAATATCACCTTACTAGGCCGGACCAAGTGAACTAACATGCTTGGCTGTCACAGCTGGTGACAGTCGGAGTAATTGGCTCATTTTGGGACGATAAGATCGAAAATTTATTTTATTTCTTCAAGGATTATCGGTTCCTTATTGACAACCGACAACCATGAGTCAATTCGAAAACATATGAGTACCTTTCTTTAGCTATAATAATTTTTTAATAACCAGCTAGTGCAGTTTTAATTGCTGAACGTGTTTCGTTTCAGTATCGCGGATAGTGTTTGTCAGAAAATATATTTCGGGAATCAATGACATGGTAAACGTAAAATGTATTTGAGTAAACTTTATTTATTGAATTAATAAAACTATATTTTAATATTCTGCTATTCATAAAAGAGTCAAGTGTTACCAACTTTATCAAGCTGATGTTCTATTTATATTTGGCCACATTGACTCATTTCCATTTTCAATTAAAGTATGTAATTTCCAAATTAGAATATTTTTGTTTGTTTAGTTTGTTATTTATTTTCTAAATACATTTGTTATGCTGCAGTAATATTTTCAGTAACCATTCCAAATTAAAAACCATTATTTACATATCAATATTTATATTTGTTAGGATCTATTTAATAGATGTAATCAATGGAGACAATTGGCTTTATGCAATGTACACTGCATGTGTAAACTAGTTGGTAGGCTTAACATATAATTTTACTCTCTTCCAAGTCTAAGGGATGGCTGTATGCAAGTTCAGGTGACAGAATGATAAAAGAAGAAATAAATTGTTTGTTGTTTTGCAAATGTGAAATAAAATGCATCATAAATTTTTCTTTGGATAGATCATAGGGATCTGCATGTGGCAGATTGTTACTTTGCCATGCTATAAATATATTGATGATGACATATTGAATAAATAACAGTTCTTGTAACATTATTTTTAAAAAAATATATAAATATATGAACTTTGCCATTTTTGGTGACGTTTTTATTCACACCAGAAGTCATAGTGTCACAAATCAATCAACAGCTCGACAAAATAACCTTGATAATATGGTTACAATGATTTCGGTTACTACTGTCAGATATTCAAAACAAAAATGTGAAAACCTTCAGCCATATGAATATTCATCACGAAACAATTATTTATCAAATTATGTAAACATTATTTTAGTGGGGTGATATATAAAAACTGGTTGTTGGACAATATTAATTACACTTTGTACTAGATGTCTTGGATGTTGTGAATTATGTACTATGATCTACAGTACATGCGTGTTACTTAGTTCTTGGTTATGCAGGGGTGAGGTTCTTCTGTGCTGTAAGCAAAATATGAAGCAGCACACAGCACCTTCAAGTCACAGTTGGCAAAAATGCAAGACCAAATATACTGAAATATGGAGTAATCACTCAAAGACATTTCCTGTATTGTTAAATATACTGACCAATAGATGGGGAAACTAAATGTGTATATATACTATGTCATGACTGTAGATTCTGCAGACACTGGCTGATAGCAGAATGAGTGTGATTACTTGTCATGAAATATAGTGTTTTTCACCCATTTTTATTAACTTATATATTCCAAATATTCTGCCAATGAGACCAAGGTTGGTAACTGGCATTCCATATTTTCCACTATACAGCTACACCAATATGTTTTAAAATAATGGAAAAGAATAATATGTACTGGTTATTGTGCTATGAACCAATGTTGTAATCTTACAGCAATATAAACAAAGAATTTCATATTTCAACAAAAGTTCCATGGCATGTAGAAATACATGCGTATGCCATTGATTAAGTTTAATTTTCATTGGTAAGCTTGTTTTCATGGAAACTGGGGTAGTAGGGTAACCCAGTGGTTAAACTGTTGACTTGTCACACTGAAGGTCCGGGTTCGATTCCCCACATGGGTGCAAAGTTTGAAGCCCATTTCTGCTCTCCCCAGCATGATGTTGCTGGAATATTGCTAAAAGCGGCTTAAAACCCAACTCTCTTTCACTTGGAAACGTTTGCTATATACACTGAAAATCTAATCTCATACATTCATCATTATATATTTAATGTCAAATCAATATCATGGCTAAAGCAGAAATCTTCCAAACCATTCCATTTGTGCTTGCTTTATCCACACTTAAAAAACAATAAACAAGTTTTAGAACTATTCTGCAATTTTATTCAAAAGACATAATTACTTATAACATATCAAACATTCTTTGGATTTCCCAGATGCTAAACTTGAAAAAAATACTGTAACAGTATGAACTGGAATATTTTCATGGTCACTCATCTAAATCCTCACTGAATTATCTGAGAGTCTCAAGATGTCACAAGAAGTTCCACAACAGCATGCTGATGACAAGCATTTCCTGTTCAAGCATGTGTCCAAAGGATGATGTGTTGGGCTTTAATATGTATATAGAACACTTCAATGACTTGCTGTTTCTTCATTGGCAATGTATTGCTTGAACACCAGATGTTAAAAGAAATCTGAAGATCTGTTTCAGTCTGTGTTGCTCTTGATGTCAATGGTAATTGTGGTGATCTATTCCTCCTTCTTTTCCTCTTAAAGATGTGCATATGTTGCAACTGAACAAATACATAACACATGTGAGACCAAGTATGATATACTTAAAAGATGTAAACAGTTCCTTACAGTGTTGACATCAAGATATTATTGATAAAATAAGCATGTGGATGATATGTTTACCTGAACATGTTGCACCATAAACAAATGCTAAATGGGTTTGTAATAATCAAGCTCATATAGCAGAATACATTTGTGAGAGACACCTACTCAGAGCTATTGGCATCAATCAAAGTGTGGATATAATCATAATGGTTTACATTCTAATAAATCAATCTTTAATTCATTACATTTATTTTTTAGAATTACAACTGGAATTCCATTGCGCATAAACTTATCCCCTGGATAATTCCAACTGCAAGATACTTTATTTATTAACAAAGTTCCCGATAAAATGTTTTATGCAAAACTTTACAAATATTGACCAAGATTTTTATATTTTTGTGAGATTCCAAAATAACTTTACATTGTTATGGATAAACTTAATTGTTATTTGCCATGATGAATTACTTAAGTTTTAATAAATGTAAAAACTGCAAAATCCAATTGTAGTGACTGGGTGAGTTAATATTTATCGTCACATTGGCAATATTTTTCAGCTATATCGTGATGAGAACAATTTATTATTATATAGATCAATGCAATTAGAAATTAAAAGTCTGTTGTCGAAGAACAGTAAAACTGCTTGTATATCACATGTATTAAAGTAAAATTAGCCCGCTATCATAAAACAATTTTATTAAACAGAACAATACAATATAAACATGGGCTATAGGTTGTCAACAACTGAAGGTAGATGGGGACGGGAACTTACAGTACTTTTGCTACCTGCATGGACCCAAGCTGGATTTACATCATCCCTCAGCTGTTGATGTAGCAGCGTCAGGATGTAGTTATTGTAGTGACAAGAACCACAAAGCCACTGGGGTGTGAAGCGGATGGACTTTTATTACAACGAATGTAATAAACAAAAGCTTTAGCCTGAAACATGTTAAAATGACAATAAAAATTTACAATCAATAATTGACAGGAATCACATTACTACATAACAGGTGAATTAACTTATCCAAATATTTAATCAAACACACACGTACATGTATATACATAACTAATCATAACTACTGTTGCCAGCACGTTACCGTGACAACTCCACAGATATATAAATGAATAATATCATGGTAATACACATGATTTGCTGATGCACATGAATGATACACATGTATTAATTATATTACATGGCATTGATACTATAAACATTTACAAAGATGATAGACTTGAGCTCCTGCATTTAATGCATAGGTGATACTGCTGGTGTTTACATCATCTGCAGGATGAATAAATACCATGTGCAGATGATATTTACAACAAATGATTAAAAGAGTATAAAAAGCTACATACAACCACATGCAGATACATCCACACACGCACTCCATTTATGGTAGCTATAATAATGCTAATAGTAATAATGCTTTAATGTGATAGGAATATGGAAAATAAGATTATTGCTAAATATTATACTTTGATGAAATATAATTAATGGTTATATGTAACCATTACTATATACAGGGGAAAAACACAGTCCAGATCACCATGATCTCGATCCTAGAGACAAAACCGCAACATGCGCGATGACAACCACGTAAGATACTGACGAAGAGACTAGATGAAAATAACCTTTAAATACCTTATACCTTATACGCTTGGCTGAACAGATAACAATAGAACCTACACACGAACCTGGGCAAGGCACCTGCTTTAGAAGGGGATTTCAAGGAGAAAAGCATGCAGTGCAAATGAGTATTGCTGAAATAGATCACATTTAAGATTAGATTGATGTTTTGAAGGGCTAAGGGTGCGATATAAAATGTTGAATATAAAATTATTGATAAAATGATTAGACTTAGGTTATTTAATGAGATTGTATGTCTCATCATAATGAAACACAACTTTAAAAGATTCACGTGTTTATTATATTTACAATTATATACAATACAAAGTTGAATCTGCCACATACTTCCCCCTCCACACAAATGACATCCTCGTCATTTACTTGAGTGAAGAAGGTTCACAACAAACTGTAACATAGCACCACCAAATTGCTCGAACGCACCTGCTGAGGCCAAGCGCTCTACCAGGTCGGATCTATCGTCCAGTCGTTGATTGTCGTCTGGCTCATGACGTATTCCCCCGAGCGCTGCCATTCCGGTGGTCTCCTCTCAGGACGTGAAGTCCTTGGTGGTGGTTTAGGTCTAATTCGGACTGGAGGCGAGTCAGGAGCTCTGACTTCACCTGCTAGGTCCTCTGGATTCGGCTCTGAGGTTCTGCGTCATCCTCAAGCATTTCTTCCTTGACAGATACATCCTCTGTGCTGGAATCCTCGCTAGTCCCCGGCTGATGGCCGTCACCATCAGAAGAAGCGCTGCCCATCTCCTCAGTCTTCAGATCGTCACCATCCAACTGGGAGATGGAATCCTCTTCCATAGATTCTGCGCTGACAACTGTGGAATCATCAGGCTCTGTAGGAAGTTCTACTAGAAGGCTTGAAAGTGACCTTATTTCGTCCTCCTCCAACACATTAGTTTCTGTTGGTTCTGTGACTGTCCTGGCTGACCTTTTTCTTGGCTTTGGTTTAGGTGGTACAGGCTTGGTCTTCTGAGAGTCGTCTGGCAAAGATCCGATGAGTAGAAGCAGATTTCGAGGTAGGGTCCGAGACCTTCGATCCCCTCGTTCTTTCTTCACAACAAACACCGGGATGTCCATGTTAGGCTGAGAAACAACGATGTACGGGTCCTCTTCCCACTTATCAGAAAGTTTGCAATGCTTGCCATCGAAAGCTAGGATCTTTACCAGAACATGCTCTCCAGGCTGTACTGTAGCTCCCCTGACCTTGACATCATAACCTGTCTTCTGATGCTCCAGTTTAGACATAAATTTAAACGAACATATATACTATGATTAAAAATGAGGTGAGATAACCTCTCAGGGGGACAATAAAATCACACTGTAATATATCAAATGCAATCAAACGATTCACCAATCTGCACACATGTCAACTCCACCCTTACTGTGCATGCCATGCTTAAACTATGCCAGCCTTTAATTGAAAACAAAGATATCCATGTAACAAATAAACTTACCTAGACTCCTGAATGGGCCAGCCTGAAGACTATGCTGTGACAGCTGTTTGGCAGGTATCCACGTGCTATTCATGCAGCATTGCCTTAGTGCGTTTATAGTCTGGGCATAGTTTGTGACATGACCTAGTTTTTGGAGTCACACAGCGAGTGTCGAGTATGATTATCCACGGCATACCCCATGTAACAGTGTTATCGCCATTGCCGAAAACGTTGTTTGTCACCGGAAGTACTAAACAACGTAATGTCTCGCGAAGTGCCGTGACCTACTTACAGGCTCTATTGGTTCCGATTCTGTTGCCCTTGTTTTGTCACCTAAACTAACCACCACGTATAAGCTGTCACAAAGATAATAATCATTTTAAAGGTCGATATTGCTTTAATTTGTTATGGTAATGGGGATTACAACATAAACTAAACTGACCCACAAAGAGTTCACATCCATTCCAGAAATTGCTTTGGGGTTATTTAAGGAAAGAAACGTGTTTAAGTCGCAAATATTGTGTACGTGCATGTGTTGCCCAAACAGACATCGCACCCAACAGAAACGTTGCCAGTGCCTTGAATCGGTTGCAAAGCGAGGACGATTCAGTCTCCGTTGCCGGGTAAACGAAATGCCAACAGCACTCAGTCGTCTCATCACTGTGTTTCTGTTGATGCACTGACTCAACACTGTTGGTGCTGATGACGTCACTGCGGGCTTCAGGCTAGCTATTCTCGAAACGTTCGTAGCCCTAAGAACTTCTTAAGCCCATTCTTAACACATTGGCTACGATCAAAATTAACAATTCTTATGGCTACGAACGTTTCGAGAATAAGGGCCCAGGTTGCGCACATGGATAATGCGATAGTCATCTTTGCGGGGTCGCCATTTCTGGGACAGTTTGGCTGACGTGTTTCATAAGTCTGGTGATGGTCTGCATGGTACAACCGAACGTACCACCATTATGGCTGTTTGAAGCCCCATTCTGAGACATTGCGATGACTCGTATTCCCTCTGTTAATGATAATCTTGGCATTTTAATTTTAAAGGTCAAGTTGGTTTTGAGGTTTTGGGGATGCCCTTTAAGCTCTTAACAGCAATTTGATGTTTAACTGGCTAACACTAAACGTCTCAACAAACATATCATGCACGTGTGATTGAACAGTTTCATGATTGTAAGCACAAAAATTGTAACTGATCTGATTTGTGTGTATTTCAGGTTAACAGATGAAGAGGTTCGTGGTGAGTGTGGGAAGGATATTACACATTCTTTACGAGCCAACATCATCTCAGACAAGCACCCAGTCGAGGTTAATGACGCTATGTTTGTCGTAAGACCCGGCTAATGGGGTGGGATGGACGCAGTCATTAATTTCCGGATTACCTGATCCAAATTATTTCTATTACGACATAAATCCCTCGGAATATCGCTGATTGAAGTGGCATTCAACATACACACATGTATTTAAACAATGCGACGTGGTTGTTTGACTTTTTTTTAACCATCTTAACAAATTATGAAATAATTTTGATAAGATGTCAGGGAGGAATGACTGTCATCATGACTTTACAATCCATATTGTGTTAGTACATCATCATAGAACACCTATTACCAAACAAAATGGGAGATCCGCAAAGAACGAGTGAGTTAATATCTATCGTCAAATCCGCAATATTTCAGCCATATCTTCAAAGAATAGAAAAATGACCCATCAAAGTTTTGGGTCGTCGTGTAGCATATATAAATAACCTGTAAGTCCTTCGTAAACCATGATAAAGTTGAGACTTTACTGCTTCGTTATTTGTTAACATGGAAAAAACGCCCTGTTTTACTCCACAGGTTGCGATGCTTGCCGGGGCATGAGTGAACGCAAGTATTCAATTCAAAATCATGTTGTAATCCACATTGATGTGGTAATGATGTTTGAAAGGAAAAAGATGGCTCGTCATCAAACAGATATAAGTGAGTACAGACGAGAAAAAAGAAGTGAAATGTCAAAGAAGGCCTCTGCTTTGAGAAACTCTGGAGGAGGAGCTATATTCTGCCACCTCAGTGGGAAAAACAAAATCAACAAATGCCTCGGACAATTCGATGACATGTTCTCAAATTCTCAGATCTTTTGCCTTGGTGAAGCGGAAATCTATTCTCATGAAATACAACGAGAGTGGTTTAAGGATACTGACTTTCTTGTCATTACAGTATCTCAGTGTATCTCAACGAGGGTATCTACAGCGAGTGTAGACAGTTACACTTCCACCCACAGATCTCTCGCTGCTGCTTCTCTTGCCCAGATAAAAACATTACTGTTCGGTAAACCCGGTGTAGGTCACAGACCCCCGGTTGTCAGAGGATTGGAGAATCTTCAGACAGGAGTAGATATTAAGCTGAGAAGTTTAAGACCCAAAGAACAGCTCACAATCAAAGCCAATATTTCTGAATCTTTGTACAATTATGGTTCACATAAGTATATTTCAGCATTTTCCAAAAACCCATCTGGTGGGTCTTTATATATTGGAGTTCTTGACGATGAAATCTGCCCAATCATGGAGGGTGTTCACATTACGTCTAAGGATCACAAAGCCTTTACAGAAGCGCTGAGTCACTTTGTTCGACTAAACCTGATGATCATACCAAACATTCACACTCACGAATCATATGACCTGGCAGACCTTGTGGATGTTACTTTTCATCAAGTCAGTAAAGACAAAAGCGTGATTGAATTCTCAGTCAGGCCAGTAAATGGATGTGTGTTCACAAATACAAGTGGACCGTCTGCTTACAAAATAGATGAAGGTTGTGTGCGTAGGATGACATGTCAGGAATGGATGCAGAAGATTCAGCCTGCAGAGTAGAGACCAAATGATGAAGGTGCATGATGGGGGAATGTCATAAAGGAAATCAGCAAGGTCTATAGTATAATGTTCATGGAGAAGTATTTGAGAAAGTTTTGTGTGGACGAAACTGAACTGTTAACGGGACTTGGGGTCTTGTGAAGACAGGAAACACAGGAAACACCCTGGTGGGTTTCTATACTGGTTTTGTCGTCCATAAACATTCTCGTTTAAACTCTGGATGCCAACAATGCATGGTCCTATCAACGTTCAAAGTCCATTCACTGTGGTTTGAACGTACCGTTACAAAATTTGTGTGTCATTGGGAAAAAAATAAGCAACAAACCATTAGCCTCACTGATTATATCATTTCTAATTAAGTATTGATTCATTAGCTCATAAGCAAGGAAATATGTGTTCTGAAATATTTTAATGGGGAACATGTACACCGACAGCACCTTGAGACTAAAGTATTCATCTTAAATGCAAGTGTAAGAACTTCATGGAAAGGTCATGGCCCCTGTGACAGGTTGCATTTTGCATATTTGTACACTGTATTGTATATTTTTATAATCGCAATACAGATCAGTACAACTGTGGTTTCATGCAACCAAACGTTGCATGGGCCTATGGCCTTTTCCCTGAATACACAGCTGTCTGTCTGTATAATTGTGGTTTGAGTTATATATGGACGTATTATTTATATTGAATTGTGTATCCTTATTTGTTGTTATTTGTCTCAAATGAGCTTCACGATCACTTAAGTATTTTGTCAGAAATTATTAGTCAGAGCTGTATGCCAGTAGTTAACTGGCTGGCTGGCTGTTTGAATCTGGGCGGTGGGGTAGCTTTGTTGTTAACGCATTCGCTCTGCACGCCAGAGTACTGGGTTCGATTCCCAGCATAGGATGATGTGTGAGGCCCATTTCGCATATCCTCAGCCGTGATATTGTTGGTATAGGGCTGAAGGTTGGGTAAAACCACATCCTCCACATTATCGCTCTGCTAGTGTAGGGTTTATTCATCTAGGCAAGCTGTATAACACTACTCTGGTAGCATTCCGCTTTAAATGTAAATGTGAGATGATTGATGATGATGATGAGGATAATATCATTCCGGTTTTAAATGTAAATGTGAGATGATTGGGTTGTTGAATATAATAGGATAGTGTTCGTGTCCAGTCGACTCTGTAGTGTTTGTCTGTTTTGTTTCTTTGTTATGAAGGTGATACTTTAATGTTCTGTAACTTGTTTGTAGTTCCGTCATCGCCCTGTCTATAGTTTAAGATGTATGGTACGTTATTAAGTTTTGAGTGTTTATTACAGACGACTGTTCAATGTAGAAATTGATTTTGTAGGTTACTTTGCCACTTTTGGGAGGTGTTTTTCTTTTGATATGCTTTTGATTTCGTTTTGAGATAATGGTATGTTTATGTTAACTTCTTGGAGTTTCTGCTTTTGGCGTGTTTAGGCGTGTTTATCTAATTAAAGACATATTTGTGGGTGGGCCCTTAGTGCCCACTTGTCCCTACCTAACCAAGCCGAGGTAACCCCTTCCACAGAGCTCGTTTACTCCAAGGTGATCAGTGGCCACAACCGACTTAACTGTTTGCCCATGCATCTGGGTCCCGATTGATTTTCGTAACATTACGACCTGTCGTAACTCTAAAGTTTATCATAGTCTTACGAATGTCGTAACGCTACCAAGGTTTTGTGGATGGTGACCCTGATCTATTGTCTTGTCGCCTGTCTTTAGTTACATTTAGCTGCTACTAATAAAAGGAAAAAGCCTTGTTGTCTTGCATTATTTTTGTTCATATTTAATGATTCTCTGATCTCCAGGACCTGTGAAGGTACAAGTTAGAAATGATCTTCAGTAACCTATGCTTGTCGTAAGAGGCGACAAACGGGATCGGGTGGTCAGGCTCGCTGACTGGGTTGACTCTTATCATCGTATCCCAATTGCGTAGATCGATGTTCATGCTGTTGATCACTGGATTGTCTGGTCCAGACTCGATTATTTACAGACCGTTGCCATATAGCTGGAATATTGCTGAGTGCGGCGTAATGCTAAACTCACTCACTCAGATCTTCAGCGGGTGGTGGGCTAGTCCAGTGATTAAAGCGTTCGCCCGTCACGCTGAAGCCCCCTACATAGATATAGTGTTTGAATCCCATTTCTGGTTTCCCCGACTGTCAGATTGCTGGAATATTGCGAAAAGTGTCGTGAAACTAAACTCACCACTCTAAAGACTTTAGTACAGCTTGTTGACATCAGAGAGCGCGAAAATGACGAAGGAGGGGCGTTTTGGACTATAGAGAACACCAGATTGCTTCACGTCGACCATACTAGCTTTCAGAGAGAAGTGTTGGACAAGGGTTTTACGAAAACGTCAGTAGCTCTAGTAAGTTCAACCCGGTGCTTTTAACCATTAGGCTACCCCACCACCCTCCAGACCCTTGGGGGTTAGAATTGGTCTTCAGCAACCCATACTTGTCGTAAGAGGCGATTAGTTGTTGCGTTGTGTTGTATCTTCGAGCTGAAAGTCGGTTAATATGCTGATCAGCTGCCTTGTTGAATATCATTGACAATACGTTCACTTTAGCGATACATACATGTGTACAACTGAATGAGTGAGTTATTATTTAACGTCACATCGGCAATATTGCAGCAATATCGTGACGAGAACATATTTGACATTGAAATGGAATATATGTAAATTATAAAAACCTGTAAGGACAGTAAAACAACTAGAATATCACAATTAAAATTAAAACTAGCGTGGAAAGTTAAAACTAATAGCACTATTTGGACAATACAATATAAAATCAGGCTATAGATCGCCAACAAGTGAAGGTAGATCACCTTACTAGGGACCGTGGGGACTAACAGTACCTTTGCTACCTGCATGGACCCTAGTTGGATTTACACCATCCCTTCAGCTGCTGGCGATTGTAAGAAATGTTAGCCACAATTAAAAATAACAAAAATACTACTTTTAAAAATCCTGGTAAGTTTAAAGTGACTTTGAAAATTTGGGGACTTACGTACCCTCTCAGGAGGACAATAATATTACAATACTTCAACCCCCCTTGAGGGTACAGCCACTACCAAGGGTTGCTATGGATTTCTTGCAACACCACAACGTTGACTGCCTTGGCCTGCAAATTCACCGGATGGCTCCCCGATAGAGCATGTTTGGGACGAGATGGATCGATGTCTACGCCGTCTTCCTCATCCGCCTGATAACGTCCTTGACCTTCAACAAAGCTTGAGAGAATCTGGCGTGACATCCCACAAGTCTTCCTTGCACGTTTGATAGGCTCTATGCGTCGTCGATGCACTGCTGTTCTCAATGCCGATGGTGGCCATACCCGTTATTGAGCTTATGACATGCTCATTTGTCCCCTGTCCCGCTTGTGGACTCGTGACGTCATTGTGGTTGACTTTTCAATTGAAATTCTCCCGACTTGTTATGGTCTCATGATCCCTCCATTAAAGTGTAGATGTATCTTTGACATTGTTATCGTACTTATCAACTGGGATAACATTTTGACAATGCACAGTTTCTTTATGTGGCTAGTATATTATCACATGGGGCTTTTGTCCGAGGGGCTTTTGTCTGTGGGGCTTCGGTCCTGTGGGGCTTTTGTCAGCCAACCTTTAAGCCGGATCGGTAAACTGCAGTGTATATACAGCAATTATGAAATGTATACCCCAACGTACTTGCCGCCTTCTCACCACGTGAACATACGTCACATAGCTTTTGAGAAATTGTGTGAAGCAGGTACTTTATATGCGTATTAAAGTATGCCAAGTATGATCGCCAGTTTGAACTAAACTTGTCAAAGTTGAATTTGGATTCAAGTTGGTGCTTAGATACTAATGCGCATGAGTATATAGTAAAGACGTCCATCTATATATCTTAGACGGACTCCAGCTTCAAAATTAGACTCGTAGTTCACCCGTGACGATCCGGGTTACAATTGACCTTTTGCAATCGGTATTCGGAAAAAAGGAAAAGAAAAAAAAGAAATGATTTTTGCTAGGAAAAAAAAGAAAAAGGAAAACAAGAAATACTTTTTCCATACTTTATTACGTGTGTATCTCATACTACATAATAATAAGCAAACTTTGGTAACTGATGTAGGACAATTTAGCACATTTTTCTGCTGAGTGACACACTGGCAAGTCATTTACTTAATTCTAAAAAGTCTGTTATTCTGGCCCACTGCAGTAAGGAAGTCTCGGATGGAAATGTCACTGCTGACCCATCTCTGGCACAGGTTCTTTCGTCTTTTGTGGGAGGCAACTGCTTTGGCATTGGTTCTGGAAAACTTAAATGTTAACTAATCCCTTGTTAGAAGTAACCACGATGAGAAGCCAATGTGAAGCCAATGAGAAGCCAGTGAGAAGCCAAGTTAACTCATTAGCTATTCAGCTACTCACCAATTACTTAAAAGTCTTATAATGTCTTGATTAACTGGTACATGTTGATACAAGAAACAGGTTCGCTTGTACAATACCTAACATCAAAGACCACAATCAAGGCTGGATACTCATGGTAATACCACTTCTTATACTCGTTAGACAAAATGTTGGTGAGATTTTTTTTGCCAATTATACTCTGACAACTTCACAACCAATTTCCCCATTTTTTTCTTTTTGTCCTTTTTCTTTTTTCCTTACTTTCTTTTTTTCCTTTTTCTTTTTTTCCTACATCTGCAATCTATGCTTGTCGTTAGAGGCGACTAAAAGGATCGGGTGGTCAGGCTTGCTGACTTGGTTGACACATGTCATCGTATCCCAACTGCGTAAATCGATGCTTATGATGTTGATCACTAGATTGTCTGGTCATGACTTAGTTATTTACAGACGGCACCATATAGCTGCAATATTGCTGAGAACACCGTTAAACAACAAACAAAAACAAACAACCCAGTTCAAGTTACCATTATTGTTTACTTATCCGCCCATAGGAATCCAATGCGGCATAAAATAGTCTTCTTTCACGAACTGACTTTCCAGCCTCCCTCCGGGTTTGGGATAATCTTTATAGTACACTGTGTGCCCATTGATCAGCCATGCCGCCCACCATCCAAACGTCCCAACCGTCATTACCATATGATCAGACAAAACCAGAGCCCCGAAGTCCACGAACGGGTTGGTGGTGGTCATCAAGATCATATCTTCAGAGTCCAGATTCCGCCGGCACCAGTCCTTATCATCCGTGGCTATCAAGAACACTGGATTACGAAACCTCTCCCTCATATGTTGAACAGCTTTGTATATGTACGAAACTGGGGCTTCGGTATAACCGTGTTCGTTTTGTACCGTCATATCAGTCCGACGTACATGCAGTCCTATCACTGTGCGATTTTTGTACGGGGATGTGTAAAGATGAAATATCTTTCTCCGTAGCATTTCATATAGATCTGAAAAACTGAACTCTTTAATAATTTTTCCTCTAAACGGTTCAAAATACTTCCAGGATTGGAGAAAGTGCCCCATGACATAATTTCCAGCTGGCAGATTTTCGAATTCAGGCGAATAGCCGGCATATTGTCTTTCAGAAATGTGAAGCCAATATTTCGTATCCCAATTTTCAACGAAAGACAGATTGAACACTGTGTTTAAGGTATTATCCGGGTTGATAAACGGCCTCTTCCCGTTACGGAAAGCTATACCGAGCAGAGAAGCATACTCAAACATCAGATTACCCAAGCGCCCAAAGGATTCAACCGTCAGCATGTCGCCATTCGGATCTCTTGTCCGCCATCTTGAAAAAGTACTTTCCACAAAACTGTCATTTACAGATCTGTTGTTTTCTGGTACGTTAATCCCAGTCTCGGATGAAACCAACTTTGGAGGAATTACCAATTGTGTATTTATATTTGACCGAAAACCCATAGGTTGAACATTAGGCTCCTTCGAAATAGTATGGTATGCAAAGATTAAAAAAATGTTAGTCAACAGAAGAGTTGCTACAATTCGCATATAGTTCATAGCGTTTGATTTTAGTGTTTGTATGTGCACGTTCATTAAGCTGTTTCATGTAACAATATACACATCTTCTGCCTTCACAATAAAGCGGTCAAAGCTGATGAATTTTCTTCAACGGAATTCCGCAGAAGAGCAGACTGAAACAGATAAAATAATCATTAAGTGTTGAGTGAGT